GTAAATCACGATCGTGTAGAGCATATTCCGAGCTCTGCGGATCACAACTAAAAATTCAAACTTTAATTGAAATTAAAACCAAAACTAATGGAAAGGAATAAAATGTAGCCATTGAAAGAGGCTCTGCTCGGGGCGCTGTTGAGTCTAGTCTAGTCCTTGCTTTCAGCCTGCTTTGGCGCTGAATGTTTAATTCTGCCAGCTGAAAAATGCATAAATACCAATTTTAATTAGAAAATTAGCTGAAAATATGCAGCTCACGTTAATCGCATGACATCGTTGCGCTGTTGCTACCATTGCCAGTGGCAAAATATGCAAAAGGGGACGATTGTAGGGGTGTTGGGTGCTGGGCGCTCATGCAATATCCAAGAGATGCGACAACAAAACTGACTGCATGGCACTCCGACTCTCCGACACTCGGTGCTCTCTGGTGTGGTGTGTCCTCGCAAAAACCCATTGCCTCGTCCTGACACTCTGGAAATCATTGCCACTCGGCTACAGTCGCCAAAGGAGTGCGCTTTGGGTGCGCTGTTTGTTGCGACAAATGCCGTTATAATTATTTATACCGTAAGCACATTTTATGGTGTCGCAATTTTAAAATGCAATTAGAAAGCGCTTCCTCCACCCCCCCTTCCCCACCACACTGGCGTGCCAAAAAAGGAATTGGAAATGTAATAAAAGGTTACACGGCAGCTGAATTGTAATTCTTAATGGAGTTTTGTCATTTTAAACCCAAAAAAAAGAAGGGATATAGAGATGCCATCACCTGGAGCTCATATCTGGAGCTCTGCCTGCATCTGCCACTCATCTGCATGTAACTGCCACACATCCAGCTGTATCCAGGCAGCTCTTCTTCCTGTATCTTTCACTCTTCTGCCTGTATCTTTCACTCTTCTGCCTGTATCTTTCACGCTTCCGCCTGTATCTTTCTCTGTATATATTCCCCACTTTTGCACCTGTATTTTGAGTAGCTCTGGTTACTGGGGCTTATTGTGTTTGCTTATATCTATTTTTGTACTTATTGAACAGCCGCCACCACCTGCCTTTGCTGCCGCCACACCTTGGCCCCCACATAAAAACTCATCGCTGCGGCAGCGCGGAAACGTTCGAATCGAATCGAAACGAACGAGCGGCAAAATTCCAACAGCTGTCGCGATTCTGGAATATTACAAAATATGTGTGTACAGTATGTTGCAATTTTTATATATAGAGTAAAACTTACATTTATGGCCGTTTCTTACGCCTGGTAATGCTGTGGACATCTGGAGGATGATTGAACCAACAAAATTTTACTATAAATTTGCATACAATTTGGGCTCGAAATTGGGCAACGGCCTGGCCTGTATTACTGTGGAAAACAATTTAAATTTCAGCTAACATAAAAGGCATCCAAATATTTATGCAATAAGGCAAACAATTTGCATTGGAAACTAAATTTAAAAACTCAATTTCGATGCACAAATCTATGCCTTACTGAAGCAAACTCTTGCCCTGCTCGCTCCTTTAAGTAAATGAAATTTTCATTTGTGCAAAAGATTTTCGGGTTCTCCTTGCCAACCTGCTGCAAAACATTTATCGGCTGTGGTCGTAAACCATTTGCAGCAATTATCTGCGCTAAGTTCGTTCGATGCCTTTGGGGAAATATGCGGCAAATTAATATGGGGGGGGGGGGGACTGTGCTACCCCCGCTCTCTCGCACAAACAAAAAACCCTTTCTCGCCAGTCGAACGGCTGCCAATGGGTTTTTAAGCGCAAGTTTTGCTTAATTTATAACGAGGATTACAATAAACAAACTAATCTACGGCAATAAACACTAAAAATCCCCCGAAAAACTGTTTGTCGCAGGAAGCACAAGACAGTAGCAGGGGGCTGTCCCCTAACACGGGCCAGGACGGGACAGGACAGGACAGGACTCTTGGGCATTGGATTTGCTGCGTCTTGTAGTTTTTGTTTTTCTTCTATGTTATTTTTTGTTTTTTATAAGTTAAATCGCAGCGAATCCTTTGGCCTTTTAAATATGCCATTTCCGTTGTGAGATTATTTTTCGATATCGTATGATTCGAGATGTTTACGAGTGTCCAGTGGTCCCGGATGCGGCTGCAATGACCGCCACCAGCAGATAGGCATCGTCAACAACCCCATCGCCACCACCACATCACATCGCAGGGCATCGGTGGGTGAGTGGGGACGTACGGGCAAGAGGGTTTAATGTGCGTGCCTCATCCGCTCGATCCCTTTTTCTATTAACAATAAATTTGTACGATTTTTATTTTGACCGCAATGAGGTTTATTTAAGGGCAGAAAAGTGTGGAAAGCAGAGGCAAAGAAATCTGCTCTGTGCAGATTTCATCAATCCGTGGCCAATAGGGGGTTTTTTTTAACAAAAAAAAATGTCTTGCCTCTTTAGATTTAATTATTTATTTTGATTTTTATTTATTTTAATGAGTAAATAAAATAATTAAAATAAAAAGAGAAAATAAAACAGTTTCAGATATTACAGAAAATAAACAATAACTACTCAAGAAATTTCACTATATACATATATAATTATTTATATTATTTCACTATATATATTTCTTGAGTATTTATTATTATTATTATTTATATTATTTCACTTTCACTTCTTGAGTATTTATTGTTTATTTTTCTATAATATCTTAAATCCTTTTATTTTCTCTATTTATTTTAATGATTAAAAAATATTTACTCATTAAAATAAAATAAATAAATAAAAAAATAAAATAAAAAATATTTACTCATTAAAATAAATACAAATCGAAATAAATAATTAAATCTAATGCTCTATAAATCCTGACATAATGCCAAACCTTTCTTTGACTTTCTTGGCTGCAATTTTCCATCGAAAAACTCAAATATTTGCGCTGCTTTTGAGGACCTTTTGCAGACGGCCAGCACTCTTTCCCTGCTATCATATGTAATTACCCAAATGCAGTGCCTAAAGCAAAAGTTTAGAGCCAAAGACAATCTCTTCATTTCATCATGGATAAGAGAGTAAAAGCCCCGACCAATGGGGATTGGGGGGTGTGCGTGGCAGTTGTGGGACAAAACAAATCGACAAAACGGGATGCGATGCGATGCGCGTGATGCCCCAAAAGGATGCCATTAAGGACAACGGTTACAATCGTTAGTGAAGCCATTAGTTTGTAGCGCCAATATGCGAAAATCACACACACCCAAAAAGGACACATGTGTGAGGGCAGGGGACAGGGACAGGGGCAGAGCAGAGCAGAGCGGTTGGACAATGTTGCAGAGTAAGTGTATAATTGCAAGAGTGGCACAGCTTTTCGGGGGGTGGGCAGGGGAAAAAAACCAAAACGAGATATAACATGTAATAACTTTGGCAGGAGAGAGAGAGAGACAGAGACTGAAACTGAGACCCACAACTGGACATGGGACATGGGGACACGGAGACACGGGGACACGGGACGGCACAGAAATGTCCATCTTCCACTAATGTGTCCCGGGCTTGGATTGGATACGAATCTGCTGGACAGTCCAGAGAGAGAGTCACGAAGTTGGCAACGACAATGGCCAACGAAACAATAACAATAAAACAAAGGCCAAGAACCATTGAGCAGGCGGGCAGGCAGCGCAGGGCTGGGCAGGGCAGGGCAACCCAATGTACGAGTAACTGAAAATAATTTCAGGGATATTATCGCCACCGTCGGCAGATGTCCCAAGTGCGATATGAGGCCCGAGAGCCGCAAAACTCGACTTGGAAGTTGGAAGTTGGAGCATACAGCTAAAGGACACGGGCGCATCAACATAATGTCTACTTTACAATGTGGATAAACTTGCAAAGAAAACGAAATCACATCCATATCGACACACACACACAGAGAGTGGGAGAGGGAGAGCGGGAGGACAATCCACTCAGCCCACACCTGAAACGGAGCTGCGATAGTAGGGGGGCGGGGCGGCGGCGGCTGCTGCGACAGGACATCCAATTGTCTGATGGTAGAGCACAAGCCCCTTTGGAGCACTCACTGGCCACTCGCACGCCACGTTGCAATAAGTTAACTCTCTGCCTTGACCATTACGACGATGCCACGGATGGTGGGTGCTGCTGCTGCTGCTGTTTGGCTGCCTGCCTGCCTGCCTGTATCCTGGATCCACTGACTCGCCGCTGCCATGGCACAGCCGGAGACAAATCCGAAATCCATACTCGTAAACAAATGCAACTAATCGCCGTTCATGTTGAACGTGTTCACGGCTAGGCAAACGTGAAATTGTGGTCAGCCAGCAGTGTTCCTTCAGGCTGCTCCGCACACCCCAATCCACAATCCCACATCCCACATTCCACATCCACTCGTGGGTATATTCCTTCCACCTGCAGCACCATCCAAGCATCCGCATTTGTGCGGGGGCTTTTGGCTCTGATTTTGATGGCAGTTTTTAGAGTGAAACAAGCCAGCAGCAACATCATCTAGCCGGATGGCTTAGGCCACAAAATGAATTATGTCTGAAATAAACCAAAGAAGAAAATTCTTGTAAAACAAGTCGCACAGAATGTTGGCTGGGTGTTTTTCCTTTAAAAGCCTAACTACAGAGTGCCTCTGTTCAAAGTTCCCCTAAGCAAACAGTCCCTCAATTCATAGGCAACAATTTCTTGTTAGTTTTCCTTTGCCAGATGGGAAAACGAGTGACAGGCAACAATTTCTTTTAAGTTTTCTTTTCACCAGAAGGCTTTGAGTTAATTGTCTAATATTTGCCTATAGTTTTACGCTTAAAATTAATACTTAATCCAGTTGTATTACTGACTTTCAAGTGAGCAGAGCTAGCGCTGAAAAAGCGTGCTTTAATTTAGCAGGTATTATTTTTTTATTTAATTTTTAATTTAAGTTTGTTAATTTATTTTGTTGCCAATGTAAATTTGCAATGCCACAAGTGAAAATGTCAACGGGAGACAGCTTGGATGATTTTGAAATGTGGCTGGCTATGCAGGGACCCGAAAATGAGGCTGAGGGTTTAGCCGTTGCTGGCGATGCCGCGGCGGAGGGCCAGCAGAAGCAGGAGCAAGCGATCGAACAGCGCAACGAAGTCTCGCCAAAGGCCGATGATGGCTCTGAATCAAGTGATGTAGAGCTCGGGGAGTTCAAGGACCCCGCACAGATGACTCTGGAGCAGCTGGAGGAAACACAAAAGATATACTTGCGCCGCTTGGAGCGCGAGGATTTGGAGGAGGGCGAGTGTCCGGAGCAGGAGGACAGTGCGGCACAGAAAGAGCGCTCGCTGACGCGTCGCCAGGATCTGCAGATACTGCGCGCAGTCAATAATCGCTCCACGGCCCTGCAGCGTTTGCAGGTCGAGCGCCTGCAAAAATTGGCCAAGAAAACGAACGGCGGCGATCAGTGCCTGAACGACAGAATCGACCAGTGGCTGGATGATAGCTGCCGGGACAGGGGTAAGCTCAGTAAGAAGGACAAGCGGCTGCAGGAAGTGGCCAAAGTGAGGCTCAGAGCCTCGGACATCTACTCGGACAGCTCGAGTGATTCGTCCGCGTCGAGTGAGGCAGACGACAATGAGGATAGCCAAAAATGTAAGCCCACGACTGCCAGTCCCACCTTGCTCAGCACACTGGATGAGCTGCACGATGTGGTGCTCACACGCAGCCAGCTAATCGATTTCGTGGACAAGCCCATATTCGAGCAGACGGTGATCGATTGCTTCGTCCACATGCCCAGTCACAAGCCACAGTCGAAGGTCTATCAGATAATTGGCTTGCTGCAATCGCGCAAGACGTACCAGCTGGGCAACAAGACAACGGATTACATGCTGCGCCTACGCCACGCTAAATTGGAGAGCACTGCCCGCTTGGACGCTGTCTGCGATAGCCCAGTCGAGCCGGAGGCATTCGAGAATTGGATTGAAAGCTGTCAGCAGGCTTATTGCACACTGCCGGAGCTCTCGCTGCTCGCCAAGAAGCAGAAGGACATCGAGAAGGCCACCAACTATCAGTTTACCGAAGAGGATGTGGCCGAAATTGTTAAAAAGAAACGGGAGTCGGGCCAGCGGAAGGAGAAGGTCGCTGTGCTCAAGATACGGCTGATCGAGCAGCGCGACCTGGCTCTGACCAACAACGACCAGGAGGAGGTGGCACGCTTGGAGAGCGAGATTGAGGAGATCGATCGCGATCAGGAAAAGTCTCGCTATGGTTATTCACGCCATCAGCAGGGGCTACGATTCGGCGGTTCATTGCGCACTGGTCTTACCCCATATGTGCCGAAAATTGTGTTGCCAAAATCGCAGCATCGCCGTGAAGCCGCTCTCGTTCCAGCCATACCGCATCGCCATAAGCCAGCTAGACGTGGCCCTGTTGTTGTTGCTGCTCGTCCGATACCAGCTGCTGCGCCGCCCGATACTGATGCTGATGCTCTGACTGCCGATGAACCGTATATACCGCGATTCCTGAAAATGGCTGATAAGGCTAAAGCTTCTGGGCGTCCGGCCATCGCGGCTGTTGCTCGCCTTCCAAAACCGTTGCTGGCCAAACGATCCTTTGCCGAGAGCGCCCCCAAGCCAGAAGACGCCGAGCTGGAGCACTTCATGAAGCGCAAATACCAGAAAAGTGCCATTGGCATGCGCAGTCGTGAGGCCGATGACGCGAGGCTGACGAAGTCGCAGAAGTTGTGGCGCCGCACGAACCAAGGAAGAATCCCTCCAGCAACCTGTTCGAGCTGCACGATTTTCAAGTGGACGTAGACACCTCAGCATTAGGTGGGTAGCATCAGACAAGCCGAGGATATCCATATAAATTCACGTTTTCCTTGCCCGATTTGTAGGTCTTTTCGATTCGATGATGTTTGGAGAACGTCCAGCCGCAGATCCAGCGTCGGGAGAGCCGGAAATTTAAGACAAGTTGTGAAAAATATGTTTAATCATTAATAATCTAACCAGCAATTCGATCCGCAGTCAGTTTAGCTCTCCCACAGCAAATGCGACTAATTGAACAACAATTTAGCCAACAAATAGACACAGGCCTCCGTCCGCATAGTCCTCCATTTCTCTCCTTCCAAACGACACGTACACCACTTTCCAGCCTGTCAACACGGCCCGCAGCGTGTTTTGTGTGCTGCTCCAATCAACCATTCCTCTGCTGTGCCGCCAAAAGCCTGTCCTAATCCAATCGAATTCGGTTGTTGGGCAATTGGGAGACTGGGAGCAGCACCATGGGTGTGGATTTTACACACACTTTTAATTCTTTCTGCCAAAAATTTGCATAAATTCTGCAAAGCTGGAAGTGGAGCGATTTCGATAATGGAAATGAGTATCGATAGCACTATCGAGCCTTGGAAGCTTGGAATGTTGGCCGATGTCGATATTGGAAGCGAGTATCGATAGTTGTTTATGTATGTGCGCTTGAGCACGCGGCTATTCGTTAATTTTTCCAATTTCGCGCCTAAATGTGAGTGATTTTAATAAAATAATAAATGATGGCCATTATCAATGAGTGATTAGGACTTAGTTAGGTGTTTAAATAGTGTTGAAGCTGTGGTTTTGGTCGTTCAAATTGCAATTGCGAGTTTGTGTTTTTTTTTTATGTGGCGCTGCAGCCAAGTGGCGCGTTTTTTGTTTTCTTTTGCGCAAATTATAATAAAAAGTGTTTAGGAGATGTGAATATACTCAATTATTATGCATATTTATTGGTGTTGTGGCTATGAAGTGTTTTTTATTGTTTATTCCAATGCTGCTGCACGTGGAAATTGTGAAGGCAGGCCAGGCACATGTTGCTGTATGTAATAGGCTGTGTACATACAACCTGTACGCATTGAAGTATGTTTGTGCATATTAAATCGAGTTTCCATAATTCCTAAACATCTTGCAACCACTTTTAGGTTGATTTTCTTCATCTTTGGCTCTTGTGGCACTTGATATATGGTCATTATTACATTTGTCACACACTCCCGCACATACAGAGGTAAATAACACTAACCAGAGAGCAAGAATCATTAATAATACAAATAGAAACTCATTCATAGTCTGTGCATCATCGGGACTACGACTGCTGCCACCCCCCGATCAAAGTGGAATTGGATTCCATCTGGCAGAGGCGAATCATAATTGAAGATTCAACCCAATCCAATCCGTACCAGGGGGCAAAGGTGGACACACCAAAGGCCGCCGCCTTCCGTACGACTGGCAATAAAATAAATGCCCATTTACTGATGAGTCATCAGCATAATTTTTACGATTTGCCCCATTCGATGAATAAACAAATAAAGCAATGGACACGGCACGCTGGACCCCGTGAAACCCTCTGGATATCATTGGGACTCTCAGTTTGAGCGTGTCACGAAAACATTTGGCATGCATTGACTTTTTATGAGAGAGGAGAGAATCGAAAAGCCACATGCGGGAGAGTGGCTGCGAGAGGGGCACTGGGATATCCACAAATAATGCAAAATCATTTAGTGGAACTCCTAGGAAAGGAACTCAACCAATCTACAGATGCTCCTCGCATTCCCCTGCCAGGCCCTGCCGCCTCAAAGTCATAAAATCCCCGACACCGAATGAAATTCACATCAAGACGCAGCAAGTTGGCACAATTTCACTTTGCCGCTGAAGCAACTTGAAAACACGACCAAAATGAGCACCGAATCGTAGTGGGAGTCGGTCGTTTGCCAGGCCAGGCCAGGCCAGGACTCTCGGCAGTGGTCAGGCATGGGGTGGGGCGGGGGCAAAATAGCAACCTGCTCCTGGTCGTGCTGCTGCTCCTGCTGCTGCTCTGGCGCGTGACTAACGTAATCAGCTCACGTAACGCCTGAATGAGATGAGATGAAATCAGCATACACTCTGGAACTGGAACTAGCAGGACTTCGCCGAATGTCGAATTTATACGAAAATGAAGCGGCGCAGGCCATTCGACCAGCTGCTGGGGGGCATCATTCACACGGCTACACCCTACCCCCGCAGCAGATGCTTTGAGGGGTAAGTAACCCCCCACACCGAGCGAAATGCTTTGTAGATCTTTGACACGCGATGCTGGGGCTCTGGGGCTGGTAATTTACAAGCAAATGGCTGCTAAATCTGTTTACCATAAACCTAACATTTCAGCAAAACGATTCGCAAAGGGGCGGGGATACGGGCAACCTAAAGAAGAAACTTCAATTGCGGAGATCGATGAATGGGCTACAATCAGAGCACTTTTTTGGAGCACTTTAATCTATAGTTGTTGTGCATTTTGCTGCTGCAACTATCTTGTATCTAATCTCATCTACCAACCAGTACTCAAGTACTTATAATAAGACTCTGCCTTGGAACTGGAACCCTTATAAATGTCATAGTGGAGTCCTAGTGGATTCCATTTAAATGCAAAAACCCATCATTAGTGCCCGGTGAAGGCCCGGTGCATAAAAAGCGTAGAGAAAGGCGAACAACCCAACCAAAACATCACGCATAAGTTTCATTTTATTTTGATTTTTATGACTGCACCATGGACTGTGTGTGTGGACACTCTCTGGACAGTGTGTCCCACCTGGATCACTTGCTAAATAACCCAAAAAAAAAAAAACTGAAAAAAGAACAAGAGAAGCTACAGGCAGGCAGGCAGGCTTTTGAGGGTTGGAGTTGCTGTGTCCCTCTGGCAGTGGGGTAGATGATGTGTCCATGAGAACTAAAGCAGGGAAAATGCCTATTTACGAGCTTGCATGCGGCCGGACAGGGCAGTGGCAGGACAGGACAGCAGCAGGACAGCAGCAGGACACATGGTAATCATATATTTTGGTCATATCTGTGGACCATAAAACCAGTGTCCTTATGTGCCTGTCAATGAGTTGTTTCATGACATTTACTTTCGCTTGTTCCCCCCACACACAACCCCCTTTCCGATGCGGGACATGGGCGGACATGGGCTCTCCTGCGTGCAGATGGAAAATATTTTAGTGTCCATTTAATGTCCAATCTAAGATGAGCTCGTAACTTTTGATCGAATAAACGAGCAGAGGCACATGGCCCATAGGTAAAGGTCAAAGGAAAAAAAGGTAGGAAGGGTTTTTTTTTTTGTTTCTGCTTCTGGACACGCACACCTCTTGTGGATGGGGGGCGGCTGGTCTCTTGGGATAATTCTTTAATTTTCTCACCGCTGTCAGCCTCCAAACGAAACCAACCCAAGCCAACCACTGCCATTGGTCCGATAAGAGGAAGTTATTTTCTCAGATATTTGCTTATTTTATTAGTGGGATTTGGCACTCTCCCTCTCTCTCTCTCTCTCTCCCTGTCTCTCTCTCGAAAGCCCACTTCTATCCTGTCTTCATGCCGTACCCGGGAGTCATAAATATTTAATTAAAATCAAAATTAGTTTTTCAACTTGGCCTCAAACACTGTGAACCCCCCTGACCTGAGCTTCTACGCGTCTTGCGGATTCCATCAAGCAAGGAAACAAAAAAAATTGTCATGCCTCCCATTCGACTTGCGACTGAATGTAAAAAAAGAGCAGAGCGGCGAGCACCTGGCGGCGGCTTGTTTAAAAATTAAAATCGCACGCGTTACGCCATGCCGCGTTTTCATATGGAGCCCAGGACCTGAGGACTCCCTACAACTGCAATTCCCCCAATGCCAGAGAGACTGAGAGAGAGGAACGATTGTGGTGGCTTCAGCGGCGATTTAAGCGCTGGGCACACGCAATCCGGCGCCCCCGTCCCAGCCGAGTCCATTGAGAGCACTGCCCCATAAAGTAGATTTGCATGCGACGCCCCAGAGACGCCTCTTGGCTGGGTGGGCAGGGAATGGCGACCCCCCCCAATTGAATCGGCGAGGACTGGCGCGAATCCGTTGATGTGATGACAGGAGCTGCTGCAACTGGGGAGCAAACCACACGCGGAATACAATGTAAATTTCAATACTTTAAATCGTAAGCGTATTTTCTCTAGCATAACATCTGCCACATCCTCACAGCAGGCTTGGCAGCCCCAGAGTCGCTCTTCCTGTTGGCTTTCTACGCAGTTTCCTGACGCCTGCGCTGATTCTGCCTAAACTGCTCGATGGGATCCTCGAACTGGCAGTAGGAGCGAAGGATCTTGCCCTCATTGTGCCCATGGAGTTCAGCCAGGAGTTCCAGCCAGGCCTTCAGATCGAAGAGCCGGGCATCGTGATTTTTTGTTGCCCAGCCAGAGGGCCATAGCAAAGGTGTTGTGGCGTGGTATATTGATCCCAGTGTGCGGCACAGATTCCAGTTGAGTTTCTTCTGCCCATCCACCATTCACCGATAGCTGATGTAGCCGTAGGGCTCGTGGGCTTCCGGCAGAAGAAAGGCGGCAATGCACTGCTCCAAAATGTAGACGACGTCTGATAGGTCCAATTCAGTTGCTCCAGAATGTCATTGAGCCCCAGGACGTGTGTATACGGTGGCTGTGGTTCCCGATAATACTCCAGGCAGTGGCACAGCACCGCCAAGTACACCCGGTCCCACGGCCAACCACTGAATTCATTCTCGATGAAGCTACCATGCTGATCCAACTCTGGCTTTCTCCTATGCGTAGCTGGCCCCAAGCACCGCACTGAAGGAAGCTCTCAAAGAGCAGAATCTTCGCTGGATCTCCTCATTCCTCCATTCTCTTTGTTATATTTCAGATCATTGCCTGGCATGCCACCACATCATCGTTTCGTTTCGTTTCGTTCCCCCTTGTCTCTTGCATGCAAATACTTGGGATTAATTTTCACAAATTGCATTGCCGTTGGGGGGGGGGTGGCCCCTGTGCCTCCTGCTCCTGTCTCTGGGCCCATCATCATTTAAATGCCGCATTATCAGTGGCCAGCAGCGAACGGGCCAGTCACCTCGTCGAATTGTCATAAACAATCAAAATCCATTTAAAATTGTACATGCAATTTGGTCGAATCGATTCGAGTCGAGTCGAGTCGGGAATCCACCTGCCAGACAGACGCATGAGTTGGAGATGGAGGAGAGAAGCAGTAGGAAGGAATTGCAGGACGAGCTGCCAGATGCCGACACCATCAACGCCTCGTCAAGTGTGTGGGCGGAGTGTGCTCGGAGTCTGTTCATTGGCTTGACTACCATCCACACAGACAGGCAGACAGACAGACAGACTGAGAGAGAGAGCGAGCAGCGCCACTTGTCAGCCATGTGCCATGTCCTGGCATGTCCTGCGTGCCACTGTGTATGCTGTGCCCTGTGCCTGTGCCTGGCTCTGGTCCTGGGCCTGTGTATCGTTGATATGATAATTGGCATGAGGTAATAATCCACTTGGATACGTTGACAATCGTTTATATCGCAATCAGTGTCATGCCGTCTGCTGCCTTCTGTTTGGCTCTGCCTCTGACTGGACTGTGGCTGCTTCGTCCTGCTGCTGCAGCAATCCAGTGTCCTGCCTGCATAAAGTATAATTTCCCAGCCATTTTCTCTTCGTTGCTGCTGCTGCTGCTGCTCCTGCTCGTGCTCCATCGACGAACAGTCCAGCGACATATTAAATAACAATGAACTGCAATTGCCCAACGAGTCTCGTAATTCGTTTGTAATGCGTGCAGACGCACAGATTTTGAGTAGTCGCAGTCGCTGTGTGTGTGTGTGTGTGTGTGACACCCATCCCACATGTCCTTACACACAACTCTCCAACCTCGCTGCAGCTGGAGCTGGAGTCTCTCTCCTGTCTCTCGTGTCTGTCTGTGTGGCCTGTTTCTTTGTCACTTGTTTTGTTTTATGTCCTCTCGCCGGGCAATTGTCCTTCGCATTGCATATAATTTCTGATTTCCGAGTTTAACTCCGTTGCCGGACTGTTAAATTTAATCACTTTTTGAAATCGTTTCGGTCTGCCATCGAGCAATACATACGAACGAGTATATATGTATGTCTAGGGATTGAGTGTGGGGTGTTACGGATTTGCTGGTGAAATGGGCGGGGGGGAAAGCGGAAAGCAGAGACAAAGTCAATTTTGTGGAAATGACAAAACCCACGCGGTAAAATCTAATTGAAAGGATTTCGATATCAGAGCAAATATGCTTTTATCTGCTTCAGAGTTTTGTTGTTGTATGGGGAATATTACTATATTTAGAATAAAATAGAGCTTGAATTTGTATTAGTTTTGTTTATTTTCTTTTAGCAGTTTTTAGAACGGCTGTGATTCTGTCTTTGATTTTGAATATTTAATATAATAATAAAACCTTAATTCAAATAATTCAAAGTACCTAAAACAATTGTATAATTACTTATATTTAATTTCTAAATGATTTTTTCGCACTTATTTGCTTTTATTTATAAAAACTTGTTAACTTTCATTAGTTTTGTTGTGGAATTAATTTGTTTAACAAGTTTTTCGAACATGTGTGATTCTGTCTTTGATTTGATGCTGGAAATTTTAAAAATATTGGTAAAAATAATGATTAGACCTGAAAAAAATTAAATATGAAGAGTTTCCTGGATTTTGAGTTGTATTTAAAGTTATCTTGCGCTTTTATTGCTTGACAATTTTTATTCAATTTTAATTTAAAAAGAACTTGACAAGTGTTCGCTCTTTTCTTCCGATAAAGCTATCTAAAAGATCAAAGTTTCCATTGTATTATTTGTATTATTATATTCCAACACTTTTTTATTCGAAAATCCACTGGGAAAATTTTTGTTCGTGACACACGTGGCTCAACATTAAGATACTCAGTTTCTAAATGCGAAAATTATTCATAGCCCAAACTCCCACATAATCCC